ATGCTTCTAGGCCCAGGGGTCGAAAGCCCCTCTTTGAAAATCATGATTAAGGTATACACAAGAGAAAGAATGAGAGAGAATGAGAGAGAGAGAGAGAGAGAGAGAGGAGAGGAATCCTAAACCAGTTTTAGGAAGAGGTTTCCACTTGCGGTCCAGGGTCCAGCGCAGCATCCGCGCACCTATATACTCACTGTACCGTTGCTTATATAGCGCACTCATCAGCCCAACAAACCCACAAATGTTCTTCTCTATATATATATTTATAATTCTTTAAGTTCTAAGATCAAAAAAGAAGAGAGGGGAAAAAAAATTATTGCGCAAGAATTACGAAATATTATTGGGACCCGTTTCTTTCTATCTTCTGTATATATTAAAAAAAATATTTCTCTTAATTATATTTACTCCCAAAAAAAAGATTTCTTTGATTAAAAAAAAATTTCTTTTGAAACTAAGAAGCTTTTTTTTGTTTCAAAGAAAATTTTATTTTAAATGAAAGCACACAAATTTGAAAGTATCAAATTGATACCAAAAATATCAAATTGATACAAATTGATACCAAAAATATCAAATTGATACAAATTTTTAATATCAATTTAATATTTTTGGTATCAATTTGATACTTTTAAATTAGCGTGAGAATAAAACAAATTTGGTTTCTTTAAATCAAAGAAATCTTTTCTCTGTGTGTATATAATAAAAAATATATAAAACCAAATAAAATTCCCAGATCGTATTTTATATAACCTTTTGTGCGCGAGTTATTATAAATATATATAAACATTGCCTAAAAGATATATATTATATTTTATATATATATATATATATATAAAACAAACGAAATTCTCGTGATAGGAAAATTTATGAGAATAATTTGACCTTTCGCTTATATACTAAATTTATAATATATATATATATATAAATATATTTTAATAGAATAACATATTTATTTAAATTATTCAATTGATGCATTTATCGCAATAACAATGTACGTTTTTTAATCCTATTTTTACCAATAGAAAAACCAAAAAATAAAAAACGGATATACACATATAGTTAATTAAAATTTTCTGTATTCATCCATTAAAATTGCAAATCGATAACAAGCTGACATTTATATAATAAAAAAAAAATATATATATATATAGAAAATATTTTTTTATTTTATTTATTGTTCCCCCTTTAATTGCAAATCTCTGAATGAATTTCTACACATATTCATTTATACATACGCATCAGACAAGGTTTTTAAAGGTCAAGCGCCACACATAATAATATTGCATATCTCGCGAGAAATATTAGAAGCTGCGCGCGCAATCTTTTTTGTATATATATATATATATATATACAATATAGATGCGCAGTCTTGTGTTAACTCCTGGAACGCGGAACGGTATTTCTTCAAATATTATAATTTATTAAATCTCTTTCTCGTCATTTTGCAAAAAAAATTCTTTATTTATGAATCATGATGATTTATTTCTCTTATGGAGTATATATTGAGTATTATTCGCATAAATCATCATTTTATATATATGTCCAATATTTTCTGCGTCATTTATAATTGCTCAAATATAAAATTTGAAAATTTATTATATTATGTGGTAATTAGTAGAAAAAAAGTAAAGTTTCCTTTTTTAAAAACAGAAAAGTGCTTATTTGGGAATGTGTGAGACTCCCGTATCAAATTTTCTACGCAATAACTAATACCATATTGATTGTAACGAGGGCTTCGATTGTAAGTGTAACATATATACTCTCTAAATCTGAATTTGTAAAAATGTTTACTAATTTGAATTAGTGACTCACTTTTTGCTTCTAAATTAGTAAAATTTTACTAATTATTAGTAACTTTTACTAACATTTAGTAAAATTTAATTTAATTAGTAAATTTAATTTATTAGTAACTTTTACTAACATTTAGTAAAATTTAACTAATTCAGAAGTAAAAAGTGAGTCACTAATTCAAATTAGTAAACATTTTTACTAATTCAGATTTAGAGAGTATATTTTGAAGCGAAATACCATTAATTTTCAGTATTATTGATTTAATAGCTTCTTTAAAACAGAAAAGTGCTTGTTTGGGGATGTGTGAGACTCCCGTACCAAATTTTTTTTGTTAACTACCATCGATTGTAACTAACATATATTGAAGCTAACTATCATCAATTTCAAGTACTATTGATTTAATAGCTTTTTTAAAACATAAAAGTGCTTGTTTGGGGATGTGTGAGACGCTCGTACCAAATTTTTTTCATAAATAATAACTACCATTGATTGTAACTAATATATATAATATAATAATATATATATAATATAATAATACTAATATATATATATAATATATATAATCGAAGTAGTATTTTGAATACTATTAGTTAAAGCGCTTTTTTTAAAATTGAAAAGTTCTTATTTGGGGATGTGTGAGACTCACGTACTAAATTATTTATATATATATATATATATATATATATATATATATATAACTATTATTTATTTTTTAAATAACTACCATTGATTGTTACTAATATTTATTGAAATGACGTATCGTTAATTTAAAATTCTATATATTAGTTAAACCTCTTTTTTAGTAGTAAAGTGCTTTTTTGGGGGTGTGTGAGACTCCCGTACCAAAGTCTACTTCCTGCTATTTTTTTGTCGTAATTTTTGTAATTGTTTTTTAAATTTAGACTTTTTTTCTAAAAAAAAAACTCCGAAATTTTATTCATACAAAATTGAAAATAAATTACAATTATTATTATTATTATTATCATATAAAAAAGGGAATAAAAAGAATATGCGCACATTTATTTTCTAAATTTAAAACACTTTTTTTTCCTCAATAAAATTGTAAAAAAAATAGTTTTCATTTTTACAAGCAAAAAAAAAAAAAAAAAAATTAAAAAAAAAGAAAATTTAAATTTCCGCACATAATTTTTCATCATCATCTCTAATCTGGAGATTCATTTTTTTTTTTTTTTATTTTAGCGATTTGTAACCGGTTCACCGCGCGCGTTTAGAAGTCATTGAATTAATTATATTTTGCACTAATATAAACTGACGAACGAGTTTTTTTTTCTTCTTTGCTTATCTTTTTTTTTTTTTTTTTTCTTTTTCTTGAGTTATATGTTTCTATCAAATATTATGTAACTAAAAAACATTCAACCCGCGGTGCGGTGATGTTGTTTTACTATACATATGAGAGAGAAAATATTATTCTTAAATGCAATTTTTTTTTTTTTTATCTGCGGAAAATCTATTATTTGTTTTCTATATATATGAAAATATCACTGCATTTTACATCATCAATTTTTATTTAAATGCACTTCACTGTTTTTTTTTTTTTTTTTTTTTTTTTTTTTTTTAATTTATTTATATATATTTTTCTTGCTTTCAAAATGAAAAAGATTTTTCAGAATTTTTTTTATATAAATATATTATTTGCTTAAAAATGGATATTTATTTATAAATTATTATTACTATTATTATTATTATAGTTACCATTATTATTATTATTATTATTATTATTATTATTATTATTATTATTATTATTATTATAGTTACTATTATTATTATACTGAAGAAAAATTTATTTGGTTCAAGTAAATATTTATTTGATAATAGTCAAGTAACCGTTTATTTGAATCAAATAAATTTTTTTTCAGTGTTAAATTCTATTATTATAAATTATTATTATATTTTTATTTAACAAAAATTCGATTTATTATTTTTTAGTTTTCTAAAAAAATGGTAAATTATTATTATTATTAATTTAAAAAAAATTGATAGAATAAAAATTATTTTTTTTTTGAAAAAACAAATTTCTAGGAAATTTTGTAGAAGATGAAAAATATTTCTCTTTGTGAGAAAGAGAGGAAGAGGAAAAAAAAAGTAATAAAAAAAGGAGTGGTTTTTGCGAGACAGAGAGAGAGAAAATCTTTTTCGCGTATAAATATATATATTATATACAGAGAGAGAGAGAGAGAGAGAGAGAGAGAGAGAGAGAGAGAGAGAGAGAGAGAGAGAGTCAAGTCAAGGGTATCTTCATCGTTAGGTCATTATATTATTATTATCATTATTATTTTTATTATCTTCACTTATTTTGAGTTTTATTCGTTAACGAGCTGCGGAAGCGTATCTTTGAAATTCAAGTTGCGGCAAGCGCGATCAGGTGAGGCACCTGCGTATCAGGTGCCCGCACCTGCACTCCTTTAGACCCATCTAATCTCGTCTAAAACTGATTATCCCTAAAAAAACGAATTAAAAAAAAAAAATCTACTCCAATTTCAAACGAAACCTCAGCCTTTTTAAATTTTTTTGTTAATTTTTAGTTTTTTTCCCTTAATTAATTATTAATTAAATTTTTTTTTATTATTATTAATTAAAATTAATAATTAATTATTAAAATTTTGCGTTAAAAATAATTTTTTTTCTAACCAATTTTTTTTTTGCCCTAAATTTTTTTTTTTTCAATAAAAAAATAAATTCTTACAAGAAAAATAATTTTTTCCAACAAACAAAAAAATATTTTTGTTTTTTTAAATTGAACAAATGGTTCTTTTTTTTTTAAATACAAGGGAAATAATTTTTAAAAAATCCTTGTACTATACAAAACGAACAAATGATTTTTTTTTAAATAACAAGGAAGTTAATTTTTCTTCTTTTTATCAAAAAAAAAAAAAAAAATTTCTTGTATACTACAATTTTTTTTTTTTTGTTATTAAATACAAGGGAAATAAATTTTTTTCAGCAAAAATATAATTACCTTGTACTACAAAATAAACTTCTTTTTTAAAAAATCCTAGGAAAATAGTTTTTTTTTTGTTTTTTGCAAAAAACTTTCTTCTACTAAAAAATAAAAAAAATTTTATTAAAATTTTTTTTTCAGGCAGTACTGAAGATAAAATAAAATTTGAAAAAACTGAAGGAAAATAAAAAATTTCAAAAATCAAAGGAAAATAAAATTTAAAAAAAAAAAAAAAAATTTTTTTTCAAAAACTTACATTGATGTTTGTTAACGATGAGACTGAGGGGTTCACTGCCCCCAAGAGGGCTATCCTTTCCGCCTCCGTGTGGTGGACTTTTCCCCGAGTGTTGTGCCTCCAACAGCTTCAATTGCTGCTGATGGAGGCGATTTTTGATTAAAAATATTTTCGGCATCTTGTACTAAACACTTCCCTCAAAAAAAAAAAAAAAAAAAATTTAATCACCACACTTCAAATTTTTTTCCAAAAAAAAAATTACAATCGTCTCGCACTTCTTTTTCACCGCAAAAGTAATGTCACCATTGGTACCCAAGGTCACTGCGACCTTACCTCCCGCGAGCTCCCCCAAGGCCCAAACAAAGGATCTCACACTTCGAAGAGCACTCCCTCAAGTTCGCTCCTCACTCGATCAAGGTCACTCGCCAAAAAAAAAACCCCAACTTTTGTTTTTTTTTTTTTTTCTTTTTTTTGTACTCAATCCATTACAAAAAATAATTTCCACTCAAAAAAAATAATTTTCACTCTTTTTTATTTTCAAAAAACTGAACTGAAGTCACTTTTTCAAACAAGTTCACTGATATGAAAAATTGAAAAAAAAACAGTCACTGTTTTTTTTTTAAATTGGGAATTTGTAAATAAAAAAAAAAGGTCACAATCCTTTATTTCAGAAAAAAATACACACTCACGTTTTCCAAAAAAAAAAAAAAAAATGTGCCTTGATTTCTTTTTCTCTTTTTTGATAATTTACAGTTACATTGAATTGGGACCGACGTGTCGTGATGAACACGAGTCTCGGCCTCTCGTAAGCGACTGGTATTCTTCAGGTATCGTGAACAGGACCCCGGGCCCCGACTGTCAGTCGCCCCCACCCCACCTCTTTTTCAAGTTTACCTGTGTGTCTGTGTACACGCCCCCTCTCTTCTTTTCATACCTTTGCACAGCACCCCCACTTCGCTATTCAGGTATATGAGAGAGTAATATATACACACACCATGACAGAGCAGTGCCAGTGATCTGACTCTCTGCCGCGGTTATATTATACATATATATGTATATACGCACATATCGAAAATATATTCACATCACAGACCCACTGGACAACATTTACGTATATTCTTTCACTATATACAATTTAGAAGCTAAAAAATTTTTTTTTTTATTTAGAAAAAATGATGATAAATTATTTTTAAGAAAAATTATTTTAAAAAATTAAAAACAAAATGCCCTTAAGTATGCTACTAACCATAGTTTCATTACCTTCAAGTATGTTAATAACCATATTTTAGTACCTTCAAATATGGTACTAACCATAGTTTGGTACCTTCAAATATAGTATTAACCATAGTTTGGTACCTTCAAATATGGTACTAAGCATAGTTTGGTACCTTCAAATATGGTATTAACCATAGTTTGGTACCTTCAAATATAGTATTAACCATAGTTTGGTACCTTCAAATATGATACTAATCATAATTCAATCATGCTATTAACCATATTTTGGTACCTTCAAGTTTAGTATTAATCATAATATAGTACCTTCAAGTATGGGACTGACTATAATTTAGTACCTTAAAGTATAGTACTAACCATAATATAGTACCTTCAAGTATGGTACTAATAATAGTTCAGTACCTTAAAGTATGGTGCTAACCATGATTATGCTACTAACCATAGTTTGGTACCTTCAAGTATAATAATAACCAGAATTCAATTGCTATTAACCAGTTTGGTTCCTTCAAATATGGTACTAAGCATGGTTTAGTACCTTCAAATATGATACTAATCATAATTCAATTATGCTATTAACCATATTTTGGTACCTTCAAGTTTAGTATTAATCATAATATAGTACCTTCAAGTATTGGACTGACAATAATTTAGTACCTTAAAGTATAGTACTAACCATAATTTAGTACCTTCAAGTATGCTACTAATAATAGTTCAGTACCTTAAAGTATGGTGCCATCCATGATTATGCTACTAACAATAGTTTGATACCTTCAAGTATGATAATAACCAGAATTCAATTATGCTATTAACCAGTTTGGTGCCTTCAAATATGGTACTAACCATGATTTCGTACCTTCAAGTATGGTACTAACCATAATTTGGTACCTTCAATTATAGTATCAACCATAGTTTCGTACTTTTAAGTATAGTACTAACCATAATTTAGTACCTTTAAGAATAGTACTAATCATAGTTTAGTACCTTAAAGTATGGTGCTAACCATGATTATGCTACTAACCATAGTTTGGTACCTTCAAGTATGATAATAACCAGAATTCAATTATGCTATTAACCAGTTTGGTTTTTTCAAATATGGTACTAACCATGATTTAGTACCTTCAAGTATGGTACTAACCATAATTTGGTTCCTTCAATTATAGTACCAAGCATAGTTTGGTACCTTTAAGTATAGTACTAACCATAATTTATTACCTTCAAGTATAGTATTAATCATAGTTTAGTACCTTCAAGTATGATTTTAACCATAATTTTGTTGTTAACCATAGTTTGGTACCTTCAAGTATGATACTAACCGTAATTCAATACTAATAAGTATTAAAGGATAGAAACTATGGTTAATACGATACTTAAAGGTCATTAAGTTTAGTATAAAATTGTTGAAGGTTATTTGGAGGTTGCAAAATATAGTGATACTTCTACACTTGAATGTTGTAAACTATGGAAAAGTACCATATACCTGGAGGTACTAACCTATGGTAAGTACTATACTTGAAGGTACTAAATTATGTTTAGTACCATACTTGAAGGTACTAAGTTATGGCTAAAATTATATTTGAAGGTACTGAACCATGGTTAGTACTGTATTCGAAGGTATACTAAAGTAAAGTTACTACCATACTTGAATCTTGTTAACTATATAATAGTACCATATTTAAAGGTACTTAACTACGGAATAGTACCATACTTGAAGATTCTAAATTATGGTTAGTACTGTAGTTGAAGGTACCAAACTGTGATTAGTAGCATAATTGAAAGTATTGAATTATGGTTATTATCATACTTGAAGGTACCAAAATATGGTTAGTAGCATAATAATGGTTAGCACAATACTTGAAGGTACTGAACTATGGTTAGTATACCATACATGAAGGTACTAAATTATGTTTAGTACTGTACTTGAAGGTACCAAACTATGGTTAGTACTATAATTGAAGGTACCAAAAACTATAGTTAGTATCATACTTGAAGGTACCAAACTATAATTAGTACTATAATTGAAGGTACCAAAAACTATGGTTAGCACCATACTTGAATGTACTGAACTATGGTTAGTACCATATTTGAAGGTACTAAACTATGGTTAGTAACATACTTATATGAAGGTACTATATTCAATACTATTAGACTATATTTAGTATTATATAGTCTATATTTAGTACTTCTAGTACCTGACTTTATATTTATTACTTTTTACCCTATATTTACTACTTTTTTTTTACTTTACATTAAGTACTTTAGTATAATTTTTACTTTACATTAACTATACGTTTCAGTACGTTTTCATTATCAACTAAAACTCACAAAGTGTTATAATACAGCACAAAATATGCCCACAATTTCTAAATCACTCCATACTTTAATTAAATTAAAAAAAAAAAAAAACAATACTTAATTAATTCTCGCGCTATTAACTAATGCCCCTCCTCTCTCAATCTTAACCCCATTGCACCTGTATAATAAAATTTCCATGAAAATTTATATTTCCCCGTAATTTACAAGTTTGAGACACTAAAAGCTTTAACACACATCCGAAGTGCATTCCAACTTTTATTATACCAGCGCTATCTTTTATGAAAATAAAACTTGAAAGAAATACTTGGCATTCCGCAAAAGTATATACATATATATATATATATATAGTGTGGATATCTTCTCGATATTTGCGCCAATCTCCAAGTTCCTAAGAATTCAAGATCAGGGAGTGCATTTTGGTATATACTCATCCTGTATATACATATAAGAGAGAAGGCGTCCTGCGTTAAGTGCGCATGCGCCTAACGGACAGAGAGGTACATTTTACAGCTTCTTCTATATGTACACGTACCTCTCAACCTGTATATAGATGGATATATACCCCTACCTTGTTTTACCCCCTACCATGTTCTCTCTCTTTCTCCCCTCCCCTTCCCCCACTCTCTGTACCGTTCAAGAAACACCTTCAATCCCTCCCACCACTTTACCTTTTTGAAATGACTTTGTCCATTCCACCGTTTCTTTGCCAACTTCACTCACATTGCTGTAAATCCTTTTTTTGTGTGTGAGTTTGTATATATATGTGTGTGTGTGTGGTACTCACTCTCACGAATCCCCCCAAAGAGCCGGCAAGGTTACGTTTACCTTTGCAGTTTTAGCCGCAAAATGCCGGTTACGTCTCATCGTGAAGCGGTATTATGCCGCCTAGCGGCTTAGAGACTCAACCGCTTTTGCTCTGCGTCATATAAGTATAGGACATATTCTATATATATATATATATATTTACTTCTCAATATATGCAGTTTTTAGTTGAGACGCAATTTTTCATGAATTTTTTTTTCTCTTCTATTTCCAAGTTAGAATTGCCACGTGTAATGTGACATTGTATACATATAAATATATGAGGAAAAATTAGAATTATTATGAAAATTCAAAGGTGGGATTGGAAAAATTTATTTGAAATTTTTATAATTGACACGATTTTTTTTTGTTATTTATACACGAAGAGAAAAGATATATTTGTCTTAGAGCCAAATAAATATTTAATTTGTTTCAAATAAAATGTTTATTTGCACTTTCAAACTACATTCTTAGAACTATTTTGAAACTACATTAGAACTACAGTGAAACTACTTTAAACCTACTTTGGAACTACACTGAAACTATTTTGAAACTACCTTGGAACTACACTAAAACTATTTTTAACCTACCTTGGAACTATTTTGAAACTACGTTAGGACTACATTGAAACTACTTTGTAACTACACTAAAACTACTTAAAAACCTACCTTGGAACTACACTAAAACTATTTTTAACCTACCTTGGAAATATTTTGAAACTACATTATGACTACATTGAAACTATTTTGGAACTACACTGAAAATATTTAGAACCTACCTTGAAACTATTTTGAATCTTTCTTGGTACTGTTTTGAAACTATTTTAGAATTACATTAAAACTTATTTGAAACTACCTTGGAACTACACTAAAACTACTTATAACGTACGTTGGAACTACTCTAAAACTATTTTTAACCTACTTTGGAACTATTTTGAAACTACATTAGGACTACATTGAAACTACTTTGGAACTACACTAAAACTGCTTATAATCTACCTTGGAACTACAGTAAAACTATTTATAACCTACCTTGGAACTATTTTGAAACTACATTAGGACTGCATTGAAACTACATTGGAACTACACTAAAACTACTTATAACCTACCTTAGAACTACACTAAAACTATTTTTTAACTCCCATATCACTGTACATAGAATTTTTCCATAACCTAAAAATGTATGTTTTTTGTGGTTTTTTGAGGTTATGGCATAATTTTGAAGTAATTGAGTCAAATGCGCGCTTCGAATTCAGATTCAATGTAAGGGTTTTTTGAGGTTATGCCAATATCCTAATTTAATGGGTTTAAAGTATATGCACTTAGAAAAAAAATTTGTTTGAAATAACTATAAATTTTTGTTGAATCTACCAAATAAGGACACTTGCTATACATGGAAAAAAAATCTTTATCTGAAACAACTATATGTTTATCTAGAACAGCAAAAACTTTCGCTGTTTTAGTAAAACTTTTCTCTATTTCAATAAAAATTATCGC